TTCACTTGATACGAGACTCTATGAAAATAATTTAATAAAAAGGTGAAGCATTCGCTTGAAGATTCTATTGTGTTTCTATTATTTCAATTTATTCACTATTTTTTCATTCAGAAAAATCAAAATCTGTGCGAATTTTTTTGTTAAATAACTATCAAACAATCTTATTGCAGTTGTAGAATGCTTAAGGACATCCAAATATCTTTTATAGTGTGGTACAGACCACAGTATAGATTCAACCATTTTCAAATATCAAAGTTGTCAATTAAATTGCGAGAGAAATTTGTTATTGAAATCATGAATTTTCTGCGTCATTGTAATAATATTTTGCACAGAATTATTATTTTTTAAACATTCGTTATTAATAAATAAATAACCGAAATTGTTTAAACTTTCGTAAAATTTTTTTTTTTTGCATGAAATCAATTTCTGGTAAAATTCTGAATATGAATAAATTTGTTAGATTTCGAACAAATGATTTTTATGGTGAAAAATTGATTGTTTATAAATTATTTAGAAAAAATGCTCGAAATTTTCAAAAATTGCAATTTTTAAATTATTTTATCAATCTTCCTCCAAAAGAAAATGTTCTATTTTCATTTTCAAACCTGCAAAGTTTAAATAATCATTGTAAAATATCGGGAAACTTAGGGTCAAATGAAAGCTCTGATGTTCGACTACAAAAGTAGAAAAGCCTTTCAGTAGAGAAAAAATAGTCAAAGTACTTGGACATCCTTAATATAAATTGGACAAAAAACGAATGAATTTTGCAGTAGAATTTCAAAGAAATTTTCAGAAACTTCAATAAATATTTCTTCTAAATTTTTTCATACACGTTTGAGACGAAGAATGAAATTTCGTGAAACTAGGATGAAATTAAGATTGTAACGTTAATAAAATGAATAAAAAAAGTAATACAAATAAATGACATGAAAGTGGGATTTCTTCAGCTTAATTTCGTGCATAAATACGACGATTACAAGCTAAAAACTTGTATCATATGCGACTCACCGCATGAAAATGTTGTTCCAATTGTGTTCTGAATTATTGGCTTATCGCTTTCTACTTTTTGGCTTTTCTAAAAATATATGGTTAAAGAATATGCAATGATCGAATGCGGATGCATGTGAAGATGAATTACGAAATCATTTGATTTGCATTATTTTTTTAAGATGATCCTAACTCATGATTTGCCAGTACAGGACGAAGAATTCGCGAAATTAGCAGCAGCAAGTGAACGTCAGGGGAGAGTGAATTCCCAGTGACGTTTGATGAATCGATTTATTCATGTTTAGATGAGGGAAAATGCTTACTTTTTCTTGAGAGTGAAGAAGCTGCGTCGTTTTGTCTCAGCTTGGGTCGGTGCTGGAAGGGTGTGTGCCCTGGACGTGCTGGCACCAGCTGTTCCCTGGGCTGCCTGATTCAGAACTGTCACCCATTCGTTCATGTCAGCGTCGTCTTTAGCTTGGAACAGGAAGTCTGATCCACCTTGTGACCTGAAATGATCAGAAGGAATATTTGAAATAGTTCACCTGTGACGGGAATTTATTATAAATACTTCAAAGAATTGCTCAAAATTAATGAATTAAGAAAAGTTTCTTGATATTCTCGTGACATATTAGTGACAATGATGGGAACAATTAATTTTGCTAACGATAATTTACACTTTATATCTGAATTTTATCAATTTTCCTGGGGGGTGCTAAACAGGGTGTTAAATCAATGCAAATGTTCTAGAGCCCCTGAATTAGAGAGAGTAGATGTTCATCTGCTTAAATCATAACATTAAATGATAATAAATAAAAACGGCTAAAACACCCTGAATTGTTTTTTTTACAAATGCTAAGCGTGGTTTATAAAACTTTTTTATGAGTTCAGTTATTGATTTACTTTTGATTGAGTGAACTTGGAGGTCAGCGTTTTGATGACTGCCATATATTTTAGGGATTGTGCTCATTTGGGATGGGAATTTATTATATTAAAAGAGCAGCTTTTAACGAATGTTATAGAATGCTATTTGCTTGACGGTATGAAAAGTCGTATTTGAAGTGGTAAAAAATTGAAGTTAAGATGAAATATTGAATATTGTAATAATGAGAGATGTCTCCTCCTTACGATCATTAAGTATAGAATATGAAAATCATACAAAAAGATTTTTACGGGTGAATTTGGGGGAAAGGTGGGAAAGGCGACAGAAGAGTAGATTTTTAATGTTTTGTTTAGTGTGGGATTATCGCGACTGGGAGTGATTTTAGGGGGAAATGCCTTCAGAGCTTTCTTGGAGCTTGTACAATTCTCTATAAAAAGTGTCTAACGACATTTTCTCCTAGACCTAATCTCTCCCGAGATGATTCTAACTTTAATAAAAATGTAAAATTTCCCTCATTAGACACATCTTCTCCCTCGCCCCCAAAACAATATTTAATTCTCTCGAACTCGAAGGATTTGTCAAATCAATATTCCCCCCCACATAATTTAATAACAAATCAGTATCACGTGAGCCTCCGAATAAACAAATTCCAAGCTCTACACTGCAATTTTCTTACGATTTAAATAAACAAAAACAATTAAAGCTTACGAGCTACATCTAAATATTTTCAAAATGTTAATTATCTTTCTTTTGTAGTATTTATCACGGGCATACTGTTTTATTTTATAGAAACGTAAGATGAAAAAAATATTAAGTAAAATTCTTTATCCTGATGACAAAATTATGATGATTGTTTCATTTTAATCTGCTTCATTACCAAACTTCTTCCATAGATTGGTAATATTTCGAATAGATTATCCTCGAGCGAATGAATCACAATCTCATGATGCTCTCACTCCCCTCACCCCTCAATTTTAATTTCAATGCCAAATCGTTGATGAAGAAATTTGTTACAAAAATTAAAAATTACCATTACATTGAGTGCATAAATAAGAGGCGTATTGCACGTGGTACTTGTACACACCACAAGATGCACGTGAAAATATTCTCGTTATTTATTAAAAATGAAATTCCTGGAATTTTTCAAAAAAAAAGTAATGAAAAATTCTACGATTTTTGACATTTCAAATTCTCTTTGAAGAACAAAAAAACATCTTTAGCTTTGTAATTTTCGTACTTACTTCACCCGGAAGACATGTTTCTTCTTCGTATAATCGCTAGCAACGACGATAGTGGCTCCTCGAAGATCAAGAGCGGCCTCACTCTTGTAAGTCTGGTCTGGCGATGATTTACAGCTCTTCTGGTCTTTGTAAGCCACCAGAGTCTGTCCTCTTATGACCATGTATAATTTTTCCCATGAACGATTTGACGCCTTCTTCGTCGTGCTCTCCCACTCGTGTTTGCGCACCAGGGTGCCCTCGTACTCATCATCAGATGGGCTTCTAGCTTCTGCGAAGTCATCAAATAGACAATTAAACATGGAAACATCGAATCCTGCGCTCGATAATTAATCAAGCATCACTAGATCTAGACTCCCTAATGCAGTCATTGATGGAATAATTTTATCTAGTCATTTTCTAGACAAATAATTTCGATTCAAGCAGCTTCAGCTCCTTCGACACCTGAAATTCTGCACGATCAATTCAGTTTTAATTTCGAGAAAATTTTATTAAGCTAGTTACATTTAATAAATCGGTGCTTGTATAGTGGAATATAAGGAGTTGACATGTTTTGCAGCTGAGAAAATCATCTATCCCCTAAAAAACTCAATAAAAAATGAAGTAAGCAGACGAAATCCTTAAAAAACGAAGTAGTTGACGATTTTACTTCTAGAACTTTTCAAATATCTCAGTAATGAGTGGTTTTAGGAGAAAATGTCTCTAAACCTTCCTTGTAGCTTATGAAATGCTCTACAAAAAATGTCGTATGCCATTTTTTCTCAAACCCGATAATTAACGAGATAATCAAGAAATTGATAACCCAATGTATTTTAAAACGAAGTAAATCACAATCGTACTTTTCGAATTTTGAAAATATCTCAGTAACAAGTGGTTTTAGGACGAAATATCTCTGAACCTTTTTTGCAGCCCTTGAAATTCTCTACAAAAAATGCCTTCTGACATTTCTTCCTAGACCCAGTCGTTATCCAGATAATTGAACATTAATGACTGGAAAAGTCGTCTCCCCACATTCCACCACATCTCGCCCCTAAATTAATTGTCTAATCAGCATGCCAATCAACTCATGACAATTTCGTTCACGTTCAAAGCATTATTGAGCTAACAAAAATAGCATTGGCGCATTCACTTAGGCTACTGACTTACCGTGAAAGCTGTGCTCATCATCGCTCACACCGCTACGATCTAAACTCGGTGATTTCGGTGATTTTTTCCACCGGAAACTCCTGAATGGCGACTTGCTGCGACTTCTCTCCTTACGTTTCAGGGTACCAGACTCCGAGCCGCTACCCTTTGGAGCTTATCAGTGGACAACACACGGTTCAGTTACAATTCTACTTACAAGCTTATTTTTATGATTTTTTTTCTGACGATTTTAGTTGTGTTATCGCCGCTCCCAGAGTTTTGCTGACATTCCATACAACATATTTTTCGGTTTTTTGGACGTGCCACATGCTCATGCAATTTTTTTACAGATAAAATTCAAAGAAAATGGTAAATCGTTAAGGAGAAAACGAGATAATCCCCCTTACTCGCAGCAGAATTAATTTGTCTTCGGTTTTTGGAAAATATCTCCGAATCTGAGGGAGATAGAGGATTTTTTATGAGAACTTTTTTTGTAGCTCTTGAAATTCTCCACAGAAAAGGTTCAGGTAAAAATTTCACTATCTCCATTGGATTTCGAGAAATTCAGGAAAAACTGAGCCTTGAAACAAGTTCAGGTAAATTATCTCGTTTTTAGATTTCACTTGAATATGAGAAATTGTCGTTCGATGATTTATTCGAGGGAATTTATTTAATTCTCTTGTGGAACACTTTGGGAGGTTTTGAAACAATTGAACAGCTGTGAAACAATCTCTCTATTTTTTTTTCATCATCTTGAGGAAAATTTTCATTTTGTGATTTTGTTCTTTTGGAGAATTTAACAATTTTTTTTCAATGGAAATGAGTGAACTACCGTGTGAGGAAGAGTGCGAGAGTCAGGTGGTGATAAATTTCAGGAGGATACCCCCTCTGATGAGGCCAGCGCCTTTCTGGAGTGCTCCAGCTGTTCACGACGCAAAAATTGTTAATCTGACGATTCGAGACTTTTCCGGAAAATATCTGGTTATGGTGTTCTATCCGTACGATTTTACCATTGTCTGTCCAACTGAGTTGATACAGTTCAGTGATCGGGCTGAAGAATTTCAAGATTTAGGTAATTTGAATAATTTTTGGGGGAATGAACGAAAGAAATTAGTTGAAAACGAAGAAATTTCGGGTTTTAGCGATTGAATTTTGCAAAAATCTCGAGAACGAGGCATTTGACGAGGAAATGTCGCAAGAACATTTTGCTGGCTGAGGAAATGCTCTACAAAAAATGTTCTATGACATTTCTTCCTAAACTCGATAATAAACGAGATAATTGAGGAATTGGCAGGATGAGATTTTTTAAAGTGAAGTAGTTTACGATTTTATTTCTTGATTTTTTTTTTAGTGTCAAAAAGAAGTGATTTTGATAGAAAATATCTTCAGACTTCTTTCTGCAGTTAACGGACATTTTAATTCCTAAAACTGACAATTATAGAGGTAATCCAGAAGTTAAGAAAATAAAAACGTCTCCATCCCAAAAATTTACAATTTCTTCTTTTCAAATTCTGCAAATATCTAAAAAACGAGTGTTTTTACAAAAAAACATCTATAGACCTTTTTTGTAGCTGCTGAAATTCTCTACATAAAATTTTTTCCAACATTTTCTTCTAAACCCACTCATTCCCGAGATAATTCACCATTCAACAAGAAAAAATCAGTAGCAAAACGATAAAACAGTTCGAGTCGATTTCGACTGTTGGTCTTTTTTCAATAAATATCTCGAAATCTCACGCAGATAGCAAAATTTTTGTCATAATGTTTTTCGTAGAAAAAAATGAGAACTACAAAAAACATTATTATGAAAATTTCGCTATTTTTTTTAGATTCGGAGATATTCCTTGAAAACTCAGCCGAGGTCCAAGTCGACTTGACCGTTTTACCGCTTCGATACTAAAATACATCGACTGACTTCTGAAATACCCAAAAATCGTTAAAACCAATAAAAGTGTTCATTCCCATAATGTTAATAATTATCAATAAATTTCAATCAATTTCTCCAATATCCCTTGAACTTTATCGATAAAAAACCTCTGGAACCTCTCAAATTTTCTCTTTCAGATGCTGAAATCGTGGCAATTTCAACAGACTCTCAGTACACCCACTTGGCCTGGGTGACGACTCCCAGAAAGCAGGGAGGCATAGGAGGCATGAACATCCCGATATTATCGGACAGAAGCCAGAGGATCTCGAAACGCTACGGAGTACTCGACGAAGACTTGGGGGTCTCCTCAAAAGCGGTGTTCATAATCGATAAACAGCAGAATATCAGACACATGTCCATAACCGACATGGCCCTACCCAGGTCTGTGGACGAGGCCCTCAGGGTCATTCAAGCCTGTCAGTTCGTGGATAAGTATGGAACCATATGCCCCATGCGTTCGAAGAATTTCGAAGCTGGGGAAATCGATCCTGATTTCGATGAGATTAAAAAGGAGTAGAATTGTTTCACTGGTGTTCTGCTTCATTTAAGTATTTTTTAGGGGATTTTGAAGTGGCTAAGTCTGACTTTTTTATTTCGAATGGAAGCTTTGTAATCGTTCAAATTCAAGTTTTGGATTTTTTCTGTTGTATCAACCCATTATGATCCGAAAAGTTTGAGAAAGGAGTGGAATTATTTCACGGGTGTTCTATTTTTTTCTGCATTTTTGGGGGATTTTGAGGTGGATAACCCATGATTGCATTGATTACGATCGTTTCAAGTGAATTTGGAATTTTTGAAATACAAAATTGATTTTTTACTTCCGAACGGAAGCATCGTAATCGTTCCAAATTTAAGTTTTGAATTTTTTTGGGTGATATCAACCCATTATGATCCGAAAAGTTCGAGAAAGGAGTGGAATTATTTCACGGATGTTCAATTTTATTTCTGCATTTTTAGGGGATTTTGAGGTGGATAACTCATTGAATCGATTGATTACGATCACCTCAAGTGAATTAGGCACTTTTTAAAAGCATAATTGACTTTTTAATTTCGAATGGAAGCTTTGGAATTGGTCAAATTCAATTTTTTAATTTTTTCTTTTATATCAACCCATTAGGAATTATTTCACGGGTGTTCAATTTTATTTCTGCATTTTTAGGGAATTTTGAGATCGATAACTCAGTGAATCAATTGATTACGATCGTCTCAAGTGAATTAGGCATTTTTTAACAGCATAATTAACTTTTTAATTTGGAATGGAAGCTTTGGAATTGATCAAATTCAAGTTTTTGATTTTGTCTCTTATATCAACCCATTATGATCCGGAAAGTTCGAGTTTTTTAAATAGAAAATTGACTTGTTACTTCCGAATGGAAGCATTGTAACCGTTCAAATTCAAGTTTTGGATTTTTTTTTTGTTATATCAACCCATTATGATCCAAAAAGTTCGAGAAAAGAATATAATTCAGTAGTGAAGTGGTAAAACAGTTTGTCATTTTTTATTATTGGCCAGTTTTCAATGAATATCTCGGAATCTAAGGAAGATAGCAACATTTTTATCATAAACTTTTTTGTAGAGCCGATTGAGAGCTACAACAAATGTAATTACGATAATTTCGCTATCTCCCTTAGATTCGGAAATATTCCTCAAGAACTCGACTGAGAGATGAGTCGATTTAAACCGATTGACATCTTCACTACTGAATTTTTTCACGAGTGTTCTATTTTATTTCTGCATTTTTAGGGAATTTTGAGATTGATTGATTGACTTTTTAATTTCGAATGGAAGCTTTGTGATCGTTTAAATTTAAGTTTTGGATTTTTTTTATTATATCAACCTATTATGATCCGAAAAGTCCAAAAATATAATTTTTAGATCGTGTCCGTACATATTTATATGTGCGATGAAGTTTTTCTTTCATTGTTCATTAATGATTTGATGGAATTCATTCATTTTCGTTTCGAAATGTAGGTATTGTTGACCCTAATATCCATCAACATTACCTAAAATTCAATTCATGTATTAATTCTTATAATTTTATGATTAAAAAAAAATTGGCTGCCGCATGATAACTAAAAAAAATCTCAATTCATTGAATGATGGTTTGAAGAAATGGTTTCGATGCCCCGTTGGAATTACTGTTTTGAATGATAGAATAATTCACCATATTCTCTTTCTCAATTTTTACACTTACTTGTTGGGGTCGACGGTACCGAGGCACGAGATTTCGGAGTTGTTGGAGTAACAGATCGTCCCTTGGTCTCGCCAGGTATGGTGAGTCGTTCGGGCCTCTTATCATGCACTACACCAATACCAATACAACATTTTCATGCAAGAAAATTAAACTCAATTAACTACTGTAAGAATGAATAAAAACAGAAATTTAAAAGGCCCGGGTGTACTATCTTTCGAATATTATTTAGATTTTTTTATCTTTCGTAATCCAAAATTGTCAATTGAGTGGTACATCACGTAGGAATTCCCAAAAATCATGATAGAATGATTTTTTTTTAAATAGAAAAAATTCGTAACTTTTTTCTTCGGTTTTTGCAAAATATCTCCGAATCTGAGGGAGATAGAGGATTTTTTATGAGAACTTTTTTTGTAGCTTTTGAAATTCTCCACAGAAAAGGTTCAGTTAAAAATTTCGCCATCTCCATTAGATTTCGAGATATTCGGGAAAAACTGAGCCTTGAAACAAGTTCAGGTGAATTATCTCGTTTTTAGATTTTTAGAAGATTTACGAAATCAGTCTTCCCCCTGCATGATATTGGGTGACAGGACGCCATTTGCCACCGTAAATCAGATACATTTTTCAATTTCCTGTTATTCAACTTATTCTGAATATAAATTAAAAATGCTCTTTGAAAAAATTAAGAATTTTTTCTACTTTTTTTTTATTATTCATTCATAATTTTTCAAAACTTCTGCATGATGCGGGACTTAATTGACAATTTCAGGTGACGAAAGATGCAAAAAAATATCGAGATAACGTTCAAAAGATAGTCCACCCGGGCTTTAAAACGGGTCTTTATGTCCAATCTCTGGGGAGTAGAAACTCAAAATCATGGATTATCACGATGGCACGTATGATAAGAGGAAACATGCGGTCTTACCTTGACCTAGAAGCTCAGTTTCATTGAATATTGCCTCTCTATTTGGAAAACTAGCCGTTTACAAGCACAAAAACTCATGCGACAATTTTTAATTGAGGTGTAAAAGCGTTAATGATACGAGGTCATGGAAAAAATGGCATCATTGGTTGAATGACGTCAGCACCTGTCGGAGAATGCCAGGGAAATGTGCTAATGTTTACAGTGATCTTTACACTGAGAGGAAAAAAATATTCTCAAACGTCTCAATTCCCCCAAAAAATTCATGCATTGATGACTGGAAAGTTTGAAGGAAAATGTTTGTTTCATTTCAAGTTGTTTTACCCGTACCCTCGAGTCATTGAGTGTTTTCGTTGTAAAGAAATTCTAAAAATTATTGTTTTCATGTCTAAATTATTCAAGTTAATTATGGAGGTGATGAATGTAAGAATTAATTCATTCTTTAATTTTGTTTATATTGAAAGTATGAATGAACTATTTTTTAATTGAATGATTTGAAAAGATATATTCTGCACTGAGAAAAAAAAATTGTTCTGTCGAACAATTATGTGTCTTCTGAAGAGATGTTTTGTCGTGTGGAATTAATTTACTTGTGAAGAAAAATAAAGTTTCTACCAAGGCATGATAATTTTCGTAGTAGTAATTGTTCTCGTGACATATTTATGTCTTTCGGGTAAACACATTAGTTTTACAGAGAATTATAAGAGACTTCGGTTTTATGAAGTCAATGTTATTGACTAGTGTATATCTTTGTCCAATAAACACTTATAATTTCTATTAAAATCGTTAGTAGATAAAGAATCAACCTTCACTTGGCAAAAAAATTCGGTCTAAACCGGAATGTGTCCATCTAAGATTATACAACCTCCCCCCCCCCCATAATGCAAAGTCCAATGAGAAAATGAACATTCCGATGTTACGGGAAAGATGAAAATCTCGAAAAAACTCGCGAAAAATAAAAAAAAGTGAATAAAAATTCTATGTTCAAGATGAAAATTATCGTCAGCGTCAAACTTTTGTAATACGCAAGTTATCTCCAAATACCCTAGTCAAACGAGACTACTGTTTAAAAAAATAATTGAAAAAAGAATTCCATGGATCAACTCTTCCACTCATCAAAGTTAGAGTTCAAATTCACAAGAACAATTATCAGCGATGAATAATTTTTTTTGTTTTTTGAATTTACTTTGCTCATCGCCCTCAACGACTCCATTAATTTCATCATACTACTTCACCAATTTTTTTTAAACATTTTCCTTCATAAAAACGAAAACGGCAATTAAATGGTGAAGAAAAAAAATTAAGATTCCGAATCTCGTCGTGTTATTGGGTAATTGTTAGTATTTTTTAAAAATCGTTAGAAAACAATCACATTTTTGCACGTTCAGATGAAATGATTTCTACGCTGATGGACATGAAAATTAATTTCACCCACGCATTGAATTTTTTTTCCTCCCTGTGCAGTTACAAGTGACCCAGAGATTACGAATTCAATGAATAAACATGAGTTGTTTAAACTTCACCGAACACTCACCTTCCTTGGGCTTTTCTTGGGTTGGCGGTGTTCGTGTAGAAGCCTTACGCATTGTCACTGCGTTTGTGCATTTCCGTGCCGCATTATTGGGGTGCACGAGGAATTAATGATGGATTTATCAGGATTTGAGAGAGACGAGGGATTATTGGAGAAACAGACGTGCGTTTAGTAGCTTTTTCATGCTATTCAGCATTTTTAGAGTTGTTTATGTTAGTTCTGGTTATGATTGATTGAGAGTTTCATTCTTTTTTGTCCCAGATATTTAAAAAAATCATTTCAATAATTTACGGAGTATTTTGCGAATATCTGCGATGAAAAGGGCTTCAGAGGGGAAAATTTACTGATATCAATCCGTCAGATTACTCATCATCCAGATAATTACACGAAATTTGGCATTGAGAAGTGCTTTGCTAATTATTGATTTATCTCGAGAAAGAATGATTCTAGAAGAAAATGTGAAGGAACATTTTTTGTGGAGAATCTCATCAGCTACAAAAAAGATTTAGCGATATTTTCTCCTAAAACCACTCGTTGTCGAGATATCTTGAAAATTAACCCCTCGAAATTTTGAAAATAATTGAATTTTCAATACATTCCAGTAATTATTAATTCTAGAGAAGAATGTCAACTAAAAAATTAATACAGAATGTTTCACCGAATATTCGCAAGAAGACTCTCAGGATTGTTCTTCCACTCAAACGATTTAGATACAAAATACCAAGAATAGAATTTAAATTGATGGTTGAGTGATTGACAATCTCATTATTTCTTTCAACAATTCTTTACTCAGCGTCGTACCCAGACGTGCAACTTATTAATCATTACGAACGCAGTGTTAATACCAATGGAAATGATAATGCAGGATATCTTACCGTGATC